CCCCCTAAATTGCGAATGTAATACTTGAAGGGCTCCACATTACGTAGTTTTTGAGAGAACAAACTACAGCATTGAGTTACTCTCCATTGGAGTAGTGCTTCACCTCTGCTAATGGTTAACCCTGTTTGAAACTTTTAAAAAGAGGTAAAAAACTTACTCAAAATTAAGCTGGATAAAGTGAAGTACGGATGATTGCATAGCGACTGTGTAAAAGAGACACTGGAGGTTTCATTGTCAGTCAACCAGTGAAATGCTCCGACTGAAGTGAATATTGATATTACAGCAAGTACCACTGGAAAAAATTCAACCGTTTTAGGGAGAGCTTGAACTTCATTACTTGCAATGATAATCATAGAAATCCTTAAAGCGTAGAGTCACTTCATGGCAATTATCAATAAGCGAAGTCTAGGGTGAGCTTCAGCTTACATAAAAGAAATAACACATTCATAATGGAAATATTTTTATCGTGAATAATTAGGTATCTCACTTTCTCTTGCATGATTTACTTTGTGGACTGCTCTTTCAAGTGCATACCTGAATATGCATAGATCTTGAGCCAGACAACTTGATACTTAAATGCCCATTTTGTTTGCGGAAAATTCTTCTTGCGCTGTCAAAAAGTGATCAGAGGTTGACCAAGGGGGACACTCTTGCCTTGCTAAGATACCTAAGAAGATCTGTTTTGAAGGCACTTTAAAGTGAGCGAGTTTGAGCTATTGCTGTGTATGTTATTGCAGATTTTCTTCTTCAATGCAAGAATAATGGCTCCGTCAAATGGTCTCGGTGATGGAAAGCTAATTCTTCCTTAGTCTGATTAAAATTGATAACACTTAAAATAAACACAGAATTCAAAGAGATGAGATACTTACACCTCCATCTGATAGCTGCTGGCTGAAGACAAGCAATAACTTCCGTTAACCTGCGCTCAAACGCCTTCAAATCTGGGAAAAAATAAATGCGCTTCCATCAGAGACTAAAAAGTTTGTAAAAAGAGCAAAGTTCACATAAAAACGACAAAAACAATTACTTCAAAAAGATCCGTCCCATCCAAAAGCTCTGAAATTATACATGTGGATATTTATGGTTTCAAAAATTTTGGAAAGGACGAAATCACTCAATGCATGAGGAATTTCTCATAGAGAAAAAAAAGGAGGTGTTTGCATCTTGAGGATTTGTACCCACCTACGTCATCAATGTAAACAAGACGCTCGTTGAGGGTTATGTTGACGCTGTAAAAACGGACCATAATGTCCGATTTTTTTACTTAAATCAACTCTTTATTTAATTTCAAGCACTTTTTATAGAATGACTTTTTNTTTTTTTTTTTTTTTTTTTCCCCTTGATTTTTTTTTTAGTGGCTGCCATTTTGTGAGAGGAAGAAAGAAGAAGAAGAAGCGGTGGGTGTTGTTTGTTTGTTTATTTACAATTGTCTAGGTTATGTGATGTGAAACATGTGAGTGAATCTAATTCATGGGTGTGTTAATATTCTAGTCATTTTATTGTCATTTTGCTTTTCGGAACGTACTTTCTCTTACCTCAACATCAAGTCACGTAAGTGTATCACCAACTATTATAGTATCAAGTGTATTAAAATTATGACCTCTTGTAAAACTGAAGTATGATCCTGACTTCTCTCACTGAACCACCAAATGGACGCATAGTATTTTGACAGGTTCACTCATATGTTTGATTGCCGAATTTCTTTATATGATTGGTAGCCGAACAAGAAAATTAGGATCATGCCAAATGAGTTTACAAACTTTTAGAGTGCAACAGGAGATGCGCCTACTTGATTTTTGTATTTACTCTCCACGCTAAAATCATGTCAGACTATCCTCTATCTTCTGTTCTATTCTTAAAGTTTGTAAACTTTATTTGGCGTTGACTCTTCAATTCTCTGCCAAAGCAATCTTCTACCAACCTTGCCGTTTGTGAATGGAAGTTGTGTACTTACTTTGAGAACGCTCTTTTAATAATAATTTCAAACTTAAATTTTCCACACTGGATTTGTCTCCCTCACAATGAAAACCAATAAAAATATACACAGGGTTCAAATTTCCAGTCACCCTAGATACTGGTGATAGATAGTAGAGTTGGACTGAAAAATCAGCGTTCCAGCATGAGAAAAAATATGATAATTATAGTTGTGCCTTGAAAACCACATTATTTTCGTGGAAAGTATTAGGTTCGTTGTAGGTTCTATATAGTTTCTGAGTTCTTAATTTGTCAATTCAGCTTTTCTTTTTCCTTCATCTATCTAGGAAAATGGAAAGGCTTGAAGAAACTGCACCATTCATCATTCAGGATTCTGTAAACTGTTTGCGGGGCATTGAAAATAGTGATGAACATCTCATAGAGGTGAATTTACCCAGAATTGGACATTATATAGAAATCCTTACACAACTGGTGCAACAAAACGTTGATGAACATTTGAGAGAAATAGTTTCACAAACCTTGACTCATTTGCAGCACCTCAGGTATGTGATCATTCGTATTCAAATCTATACCTAACATATTACTTATTCTTTTCCTCCTTCTCCCTCATTTTTCATATATTCACAAGTTTATACAAGTATGCTAATTTTTTTTTCTTCCGTCAGTTGCTGCGGGTAGCAACTCTTAGCCCATATCGGGGAAAGTCGTGATGCTTTTGTCAATTGTTTCTTCTTAGGTTTTGTCTTTAAGATGTGGCTGTGGAACCTGACCCCACAAGTCTTCGTTTACGGCAAAGTTTTTCTCTGAAAAATTTAGTTTGTTTGTCGTCCTTTTTTTAAATAAATCATTCATTCATTTATCATGCATTCATTCATTCATTCATTTTCTCTCCCTCAGTTTATCTCAGAGATTGCAGATAGGACCAAAAAGAGGTGAGAGCTGTTTACAAATATCAACTTGCAGTGAAGTTTCTGTCTCTTTTTATCAAGCTTAGTTTAAATTCCTTACTTCGCTTACATTCCAATAGAAGGAACCTCAATTTGTGGTTAAAAGTTGCTTGACTTTCTTTGTACAACTTTCATGTTTTAATTTTAAGTACGTTTCATGTAGTGAAAACTAAAATTTATTTTTCAGTGTTTCTGCAAATGAATGTCTAGCTAGAATCCAAATAATGGAACAGGCAGATCAAGTCAAGCCAGATATGAGTGTTGCTGCAGTCACAGAATTAAGGAGAATGGATCTACCGTGGTCAAAAATTGCAGCATTTTATCAAATAAGCCGGCAAGGCATGTATAACTTTCGGAAAAAATATCAAATTCAAGAGCCTAATCAGGAAGTCTCAGATGCCGAACTTCAGTTTCTTATCTCGGAGTTGGCAATAGAACTTCCAAGAGCAGGTTAGTAGATAAAAGGTGCAGGAGAACCACTTGAAAATTATACAAAGAGTGTCTCGAAAAAGTTAGAGATGCCCTGCTCAAAGCAAACTATTACAGATATTGAAACGAAACTTGCAGAATCTTGTAGCTTATTTCATTCGTTTTCTAACGACCCCTCGTTGAGCTAATTTGGTGAAAAATTTCCATTTTTGTGGCGATTTTTCTAGAGCCTGTAAAAGAAACCTTCCAGAATTTTTGAGTCATTTTTTCACTCTCCACCACAAATCTGTAAGGGTAAATGAACACAGGAATTTAAAGTTAGCAACCCTCTAGAAGCTATACATGATTTATCTGCTGAAGTCCTTATGGCATGTAAACATTCTCCTCCACTAGGAGATCAGAAAATTTAAAATTGAGAAGAAGTTGATAGATTTTTCGAGCTGTAAGATGCGGACAAAATGACTTATGAAGCCTTGTTGAAGTCTTCAGGCCACCTGAAAATTGTGCCTCCGCTGTCTAATCAATTTTATCTACCCAGAAACTGTCATCACTATGAACATATCAGAGTTAGGTATGTCATGGCTCATAAAGTTGATTGTGAAACAGTGATGCCCACCGTTGTCTGAATTTTGAAGGGAAACTCTCATCGAGAAAACATTCACCCTCACCGACAAAAAAGCCTATCTCCAATAGGCTGAGCTTTTGGCTTCACAATCTTTGACTTTCATTAATTAGAACTGTTGTAGATTAGTCATACTTTGCTTCTAAAAGATTGCAAACTTCATAATCAGTGCTCATTTGTCCTTTCACTCCTTTCTGAGTGGAGGTGGAGAGAGAAAAATGACTCCAAAATTGCGGAGGGTTTTTTTTCACACGTAGCCGAGATATCGCCATAAAAATGAGAATTTTTCACCAAATGAGCCCATGGAGGGCTCGTTGGAAAGCTAATGAAATAAGCTACAAGATTCTGCAAACCCTATTCTAATATCTTCAATAGTTTGCTCAGAGCAAGCCACCTCTGGGTTTTTTTTGGGACAGCCTTTGTATTAATAAAACAGGACCTATTTTTGCTTTTTGGTGTAAAGCCTAACAAGTTATCCTCCTATTTTCATTGATAGCCCATATCTCTAATTTTTTTGATTGTTTAAATTTACTCACATTCATGTATGTAACTGGAAGTATGACCAAAATTTCCAAAAACTTTTTAAACGTTCTTCACTTAAACCAACCTTCAATGGTCCTCATCTACCTAAAGTCCCATATGTTTTGAACTTTCGAGCGGAGATTAATCGAAGTAGATTTAAAAAAGCATTTTATTGTCGCAACCCGTTTTATGGCCTTAATTAAGTACCAATTTTTTAAAATTGCTTTTAATAATTTTTTTTTGCAGGTGCCAGATATATGAAAGGTGCTTTGACAACAATGGGTAAGAAAGTGACATGGAAAAGAGTTAAGGACAACTTACGTCAAGCTAACCCTGCTGCAACCTTATTACGTCGGAGGCAAAAAATAATCAGAAGGAAATTCAAAGTAAAAGGAGCTAATTACCTTTGGTAAGGTTTTCTCACTCAAACAGATTCATATTAGGTCATTATTTTTTAAAATATTCACAGTCTTCCATGAATTTACCAGACTGCATCTAAAAACATGTGTAAGGCCAGTGTAACCAGCTTCAACTATTATGTTTAATCATAGGTGCCGAACAATTATAACAAAAGCCTTGGGCCAATAGAGATGTTAATAGTTGTTGGTGCCTTTAAACCATAGTAAAAAGGTATCTTCCACTAAAGTTCTCATCAAAAATTAGCTTATCTCTAAGGAACTAACGTCTTTTCCATAATTCATACATAGATTGGCCACGAGTTCTACCCCTCAGTATTTTTAGCAACGGGAAAACTGTGGGGCTCAAGTTCATCCTACTCCACAATTCTGAAGTGTTTAGCCACTTTAGCGTCTCTACTCTCCATCTATTTGAAATAAGTGTTTTAAGTCTAATTCTTCCTATGTTTTCAGTTCACTTGTACTTGTATGTTCATAGCAAGGGGTGATGATCTTTGATTTCATCATAGTCAATTACTTGAGGTGCCACTCCTCTCTGCTGAATGTGAAGCCGACTTCACACGTTGAAAATGGAGTCCTTAAAATGGGTCATCAGTGCCGCTATTGACAGTTGATCTGTGAAACCATTTTCAGCTGTCATATCTTTTTTGTACAATAAATTTTACTAATTTGTACTTTTCAAAATTATGAGAAAGTTAAAAACTCAGATCGTCATTTTATAAACAGAAGTGAAATGATAGCTGATTATCCCCGACCGCATAAATCGCTGAAAATAGCGAGTTGTGGCCCCACTTTTTCAGAGCACCACCCAATGATGCACCGGTGACCTCCAATTTCAGCAAGGGAAGTCGGCTTGAGGGAAAAATTTAGGGTGCAGCAGTGCTGGGCATAAGCACAACAAAGAATTTAAAAATCTGTGTTTGGAAATATCCTGTAATGCCTTATTTGGCCGCTGCTGAAGTGTCACACATGTCTTTTTTTCTTCATTCAAGTCACTGCAGCAATAAAATAACTTTTGGCCAGCAAGAATATCTGGAATGAAAGTCTTCAAAGTAAAATTATCTTGTTTGAAAATGTCATTATATACTTATTCTTCTCCTCCTTACCTTCTGAGTTTTTAATGCGTTTTGCCCCTTTCATTATTTTTGGTCTCAAAGCTGGTATCTTTTCACTAGTGATGTTTTTATTCTGTTTGCAGGAGCATGGATTCAAATCACAAGCTCATCCATTACAGGATTGTAATACATGGCTGTGTAGATGGTTTTAGTCGGAAAATTATTTACTTAAATGCTGCTTCGGACAACACAGCAGACACTGTTTTGCAGATGTTCTATAAAGGAATGGAAGAAAATGGTATTCCGGTCAGAGTGAGGGGAGATAAAGGGTCAGAAAATGCCCGTGTGAAAGATTGTATGCAAGAGCTTCGTCAAAATATTGTCCAGCCCTTCATTCAAGGCCGATCAGTCCATAATGTAAGAATCGAAAGACTCTGGAAGGAAACAAATATGCACCCAACTTGGAAGTTCAAACAAATCTTTAAGTACCTAGAGAGTATCGAATTATTGGATGAGCATAGCGAATTTGACTTATTTTGCCTTTCTTATGTTTTTCTTCCAAGAATTCAAAATGAAATGAATAACTTTGCACAAATTTGGAATAACCATTCAATGTCCACAATGCAGGGACGGACTCCCCTTCAAACTTGGACTCTTAATATGATGAACCAATCTCATCATGTCCTTGAAGCACCTAATGACCCTGATCTCGTCAACAATCACCATGATAATCTTGATGATAATGATGAGAACTCCATTATTGTTCCGAGATTCTCTGATGAACTTATAGAGATAGTACTCCCTCATTTGTTGGAAGTCCTACCAGATCCTCTGGCTGATGATCACAATCATGGCATCAATAATTATATTCTGGTACGAAATAGAGCTTTAGGAATTTTTCAGCCTCATGATTGATGTGCTCATTTTTTCAATATAACTTTAGTAGAAGCTAACAGCCTTGCTACACCGTCTGTAGGAAATACATAATCCTCCTCCTAACATTTCTTGTGTTTAACTACAGCTACCCTGTCATGATTACCCTAGTTGTTCTCACAAGATGAAGAAATGGACCACTTATGTGTCATTTTAGATTGTCGGTTCCTTCTTAGTATATAATAAATGTCTGCAGAATTTATCCCCTAGCCTTTTTAGCATGTAATTTTCTTCTCAGAAAATGCTCTGTAAGCCCTATTTTGCAAAAAAAATACTGACTGAATAAACTTGGTAAATCAACACACGACTTGGCAATACTGTACTGTAATAGATAAATAAAAAACCTAAATAAATTTTTTGACGGTTTAATAGATGTTCTTTTACGTCCAACTTAAGTGGATGAGCCTAGAGATTTTATGGTGAGACCAGATTCTCTTAGTCAACACCCGATTTAAAACTCCTACGACTTTGTAAGTTAATCCATTGATCTTTTAATCAACCGTCCATTGACAGTTAAAAACTGTGGTAAATAAGGATTAAATATGACTTAAATTGACCCAAACCCACCCCTTAAATAAATTATTGATTGTTTATTCAAATTCGAGAAACAAAAAAACTGTAAAACCCTGCCTACGATATGAAAAGTAGAATTCACTCACAACCATAAAACCCCATCAATCAACAGTCCTTTCAAATTTCTCCGCTGAAGACAGATTGAACATGTCAATTTAAAGAACATGTTGGAGCGCAAATTTACTGAACTCTTGTCCATAAAATTGATTTAACTGCTGAAAAAGGTTTCAAAATTCATGTCAGCATTCAGTAGAGAAAAATTTGGGGAATTCAAATGAAAAAAAGGTCATGACACACATGGAAAATACAGGGAAATGGACAATGAGAATTTTTGGACACCTTGGAGATACCTTCAGTGCAGGGTTGTATGAAACGTAAAAAAGAAATGAAAGATAGGATATTTCAGTGAAATATTTCATGAAATTAAACGAGGCTGTTGAACATCTCATATTTTTCAGGGGTTAGAGTATGCAACCTGCACTTAAACACAGAAAAATTGTAGAAAGTCACACTTTTTACATTTTGCGAAACATGAGGAGCAACCAGTATTTTTCTATCTTTCATATATTTCTAAAAATCCATGAAACATTTCACAATTTCATTATTCATGAAATTTTACCACCCTACTTTAGAGATTGTGCCATGGTGTGGAAGTTATCTTCAAAAGTCACACATTTTTCTTGCGACTGACGAAACATCCCCTCCTTTATGCATGCAGTGATTTTAGTATCTCAAATTTTTATTAAATAAATTTCTTAAGATGAAATCAAGTTTCCAAAACAATTTTATTCCCAAAATTAGAAGAGACGAACAATATAGAACAGTTTTCAAAAAACACTAGTGAGTCAATTAAATGGAATGAACAACTCTAACAATCAGTCAAAGGACTTATCACCTGAAGTCTTAGCATTTATGGAACTTCAATTCACTAGTGAAAATGCTGAGGAACAGTAAGAGGTTGAACCAAGGCAACATTTGCAACATATTTACAAGATATTTTCATTCAAGAAATAAAGAATAAGAAAAAAGAATTAAGTAAATAAAATGCAACAAAAAACTTCAACAATCCATTAGAGAACTTTCTTGAAGGCTTAGACATTACTTTTGTGACTTAAATCAAGTGGTATTTGATACCGAGGTACGGTAAAAAAGGTAGAAACCATAAAATTACGACATACATTTTAGAAATTTTCAGTAAATACTGGAATTAAGGAACAAAAAAACTTCAACCAAACTACAATTATCAGTCAAGGTGCTTGGTTAAAATTGTAATTATAATTTTTGAACTTTAATTCAGAGGTAAGGCAATACTGAGGCACCTATGTTGTATAGAGAATGAAAATTACAAATAACACTTAGATTACACTAAATACTTGACATGTTAAGATTAATGAGGATACATCACCTGTCCTACAAGTTTTGAGACTGATGCTGTGACTGCAGAACTGCGCTGGTTATTTGGCTGATCTAGGCCCATTTGAAACCTAGCATAATTTTCCAGCACTTGGGGCCAAAATCCTCCAATTTCCTTAAAAATGGGTCAGTTGCGCTAGTCACAAAATCGTTTTTAGATACTTGATTCTTATAGATCTCAACTGAAAATAATAAGATCCGTCGAAACTGCAAGTTTCTACGTTCAATATTAACCGAGATATTGCCCTTTGAAATGTCAGGTTTTTGACGTCATTTACCGCGGCTGTGACACCCTTGGTTTCCTCCTCTTTTGTTCGATCAGTGATGCTGAGAGTGCATCGCAAAACTTCAACGACGTTTATCATAAATAAACTGAGGTGAACTGACTGACCGCCTAATCTCTTCGTGGAGAGTGTGTTATCACCTTATAAGAAGATTTTTCGAGTGTGAATCTGTCTGTTCCTAGAGTTTGTTTACCTTTAACTTTGTTGAAGTTTCGCGATGCACTCTCTGCATCACTGATCGAACAAAAGAGGAAGGAATTAGAGGTGTCACTGCCGCGGTGGATGACGTCAAAATTCTGACTTCTCAAAGGGCGATATCTTGGTTAATATTGAAAGTAGAAAGTTACAGATCTTATTATTTTTCGATAATCTACAAGAATCAAACATCAAAACATTTTGTGACCAGCGCAACTGACCCATTGATGAGGGTTTTCAGCAAATCTTCAGCAAGCTGCTCTAATAAGGTTTTCAGGAAACAAATGAGAATTTCAAAAAATCAGTAATTCAATTAAATGGAACAAACAACTCCAAAAATCAGTAAAAGGACTTATTATTACAAGAAGTCTTCCACAGCATTTTAGGAACTTAAATTCACCGGTAGGTAATGCTGAGGAAGACTAAAAAGTTGTGCAAAGGCAACATTTGTAACATACTTAAAATAAATTTTAGGACAAGAAAAATAGAAACAAGAAAAAAGAATTAAGGAAATATAATGGAATCAAAAACTTCATAAACCACTTAATTAAAGTCACTAATGTCTAAACATTACTTTAGTGACTTTAATTAAGTGGTTTATGATACGGAGGTACGGTAAAACATGTAGAATCCATGAAATAGGTAAGTAGTCTAATATGATCCGTATTGTAGCAAAACGTTTACAAAATAAGGTTTATAAATAAATTATATACTTAGATAAATATATATGAGTTATATGGATAAATTTTAGTAAAAAAGAATTTTAATGAACATGAGATCTTCAAATTTTATTTTAAAAAGCCTCATTGGAGGCTTTTCAAGAGAAATTATGGAAATATTCTATAGCTGATGAGTAATGCTTCACATGGCTTTGGATGGAAGAACGCAAAGGAATATCTTCATCATTTTAGGAGTTACTTTGGTGTTCGAGGGGTAGTTAATACAACAGCTTCTTGGTACGGGGCTATTTTAATAAGGGTTGATGGAAAAAATGGAACCAGAAAAAGAAACCTCTTTACTTTTCACTTTACTTAAACACCACCATTGCCACTTCTTTCCACTTTTGGAACAGTCAAAGTCAAGTCAAGAAGGAGAGTAACAATGGCTTTTTCAAGATAAAATACCTTAAATGATCATCTCATTTCTCATTACACCCGGCTAATCCAAAGCCCTGACCTAATTCAAAAACATGAAGATAACGATTTTGCTTATTTTCAGGATGGAGGGTTCGTTTGGGCTCAGTTAAAAATAATCACTTAAATGATGATAAGGGGCCGCTGAAAATCTAAAAAACACCAAATAATTACTTACACTGACTGAAGAAAGACCACAAAGTTTAAAATTTGTGAGAACAGATGTGCAGAATTTCCTGCTTAAATTGAAGAGAAGGGGACAGACTTGTTTAACACTCGCTATATACTAATGACATTTTCAGTGGACAAACGGCAGCTGTTGAGAAGGCGACGGTACATTTTCTAAGAACAACCGAGAAAGTCTTTGTTCCCAAATGATATGTCTAGAGCCACAAAAAAAGCTTCTTCATCAGCTGCTTGGGAAGGCAAATAAAGTTCTCGGAAACATGACTTTGCATTGGCCAGATATTGATCACGTAGAGTTATTTTTGGTCTTAAATCAGAGAATCCCAGAGGTGGTATCTCATGCACTCCTAAAGCAAAGAAAAGGATGTCTTCGAGCTTCACAGGCCTGCTGCCACCTGAAATTAAATTATTATCATTAGAATTATGAGATGGAAAATTGGGAACAGTTGGATATAAACAATAGTATTTTGGCAGACTGCAGGTTGAAAAACTTGCTAATGCAACATCACATGAGGCTATAGAAGATTTACAGGACATAGCTAAACAGAAAGAAAATAAAATATTGAAATACCTACTGAATAAATTTAACAAGAGAATGTAAATTATTTCTTCTCTTCCCTGTCCAAAGTTGCATAATATTGACTTACTGATGATAAAAAGCTGCAAAAACCTTATGATGGAACGTAGTGACACATGGCTGAACTACAATTTAATCTTGTCTTTTTTCATAAATACAATGAACCACAAGACAAAATGGATTTCAAGCACAGCAAGGCTATCAATAGGTTTTCTATGTATCATAATTTTGCCAGAAGAAATTAACAAGAGCAGTGTTCCAAGCAAGGAGACTTTACGACTCAGCACAATCCTTAAGAGGCTGTGTGCCCAGGTTGATTTCCCATTTTTTATTGCATTAAACTCTCCTGAGAAAGCTGATGAGATGTCAATTTCCTACGAGCAACTGTTTTCGCACAATGTGCAATTTAAGTTTTGATAATTTAATAATCATTACACAAATCATTTTCTTCATGAAATTTTGATAAGAAGCGAATAATAGCATTCTGAAATTCCCACCTTGTCAGGTGTTTCATTAACCGGGCACACTGATAAGCTTAGGAAATGAACAATGAAAATTACCTTCGACGCTAGCCAAGTAGTTTCTCCAGTATTCGTACGTTTGAGATCTTTTGTCAGTTTCCGACACTTCGAACAAGTTCAAGATACCTTGTGCAGTGATAGGCTCATTTTGGTAACAGAATAGTTTCACACATTCCGAGGGGTTTGCTTGTAGTTGAGAAAGTAGTTTAGTAGTCGCTTCATTAAGACCTTCCTTTAGGGCTGCCACAGGAAGAGCAATCCTGTCAATACAATGAAAGCGTAGAACATCTGGAACGAGAAAAATGATTCATCAAATTTTTAAAAATGGTCAAGTTCAATTATTCTCTCAGCTGCTGCATGAGAAATCAAAATGAAGTAGAGGAGTTGAGCATAGAAAGTATCAAATATAAATGTTAAAAGCTTGTCATTTCAAACTGTCTTCAGGCAATAAAAATGTGTACTTGCTTCGGTATTAGTTGTGATGGAAGGTTACAGAATCACCTACTTATGTGCTTTGATTGATCAGTAACTTACTCCCCTTTTTTATTATCTATTGATGAATGATTTATTACAGCATGATGATTTGAAGTGGTCAACTGATGGAATGAAGCTGAGAGGAAAATAATGACCACTCCTCAACTGAAGAGCAGCCGCAATCTGATTATAGAAAGAAACTTTCTTATGTCATCACATTTACAACTTGTTGACTCAAAACTGCAATTAAATAATATAATTTGGTGTCTTTGCCATGCCATTTGCATTAGGTAAAATCAGCTCTTACTCCAATTAGGTAGTTGCATTTAGACGCAAACAAACCTGCTTGTAAGAGTGGACAGTGCCAGCAACCTACTTGGTACCACCAGCTGCCCAGGAAATATCTTTTGCCTAATAATGCATGTGGCTCTATTTGTGCTGCAAAAAGGGGAAGCTAAGAAGCTCGAATGCATAACTTTATGGACTTGCCAACACAGCAATTGCCCATAGCGCGCTTAACAAAACCATTTTGTCAATACATGTTAATGCGTTCATAATTGAAGCATAGGTCTTTAAGTAGAGATTGAAAGAAAATTTTACATGCTGTTGATTTCATTAATTGTAAAGTTTTCAATAAAATTTCTTCCACGTTATGTCCCAAAGTCTTTGGGATCAATAAAGTAATAGTGAAAATAATTAATCGATTTGAAAATAGCATTCGAAAATGTATAGAATGGAAAGGAATTGAAGTGGTGCGAGTGAAAAGGCACTTCTCGGTTGTAGCATTTCAGAATCTCTGCTTGTATTTCATTCCTTGTGAGGAAAGTGAAAGGGTGCATTTCGTGGAAATTTAACTTCATTTTCTTTGCGATTCTAAGATATTCTGTAGAAACTAATCTGGAAAAATCATCCATTCAATCCTTCTCAAAGACATAAATCAGCAATACAGATTCAGAGACCCCAAAACCGACAAGTCTCCTTCTTGGACATAGCGCCTTAGTAATTAAGATAGTTCTTACCTTGAACAACAGTATCTCGTTCTTCAGCAGTTTGTAATTGGGTCGCCGTGCCTGCAGTTTCGAACAAGCTTGACTCGGCCATTTTCTCATTGATTTGTTTCAAATTGGTTGCCCTCATTACTTCTCCCAATTCATGTTCCACTCTCTCATTATGAATGTGGGAAACGTCAAGAGGAGATTTAGCTTCACCATAGATGATTAATTCAAAGATGACTGGGCAGAAAAACGAAGGTGCTGGACCGCCATGAAGTAAGGAGAGGGCAATTATTTGACCCATTCTTTTATATTCACCATTGTGCAAACTTCTTGAAGCAAATTTAAGTGTTTTGCAAAATTCGCTGCCTTCAAGGAGGGTGCAACCTTTCATTTGTTTCAGCGCAACTGAAAGTACTTCACGAGTTACTCCACTTCCCACCCCTCGCTCATTTGAGAAAGTAAAGCAGGGAGTCTTTGCAAGAGTAAAATCTGATGTACATATTCCATTAGAGACATCTTCATATGCATGACTCCTTCTAACAGTAAGATAGAACCGCCTGACGCTAATGTTCCGCTTACACTCTGTTATAATCGACTGAACTGATTCAGTGGCGGTGGATATTTTCTTTGTAGAGTTAGCATCGGTTAGCTCATGCTCCATTCCAAACCGATCAATAAAGATAGAGGTGCCATCTGGGCGAGTTACAATAGTTTCATCATCGCTCAAATCTGTAGTATTGTCCAAAGTTTTGAAGCTGGTCACACACTTCCTGGTCTTGGAGGAACTTGCCTTGGGTACGAATACATCTTCATCAGAACCAAGTGAATTTTCATCAGAAGGATTTTTTTTCGAAGTGATAACTCTCCTGGGTAAGATATCTTCATCGGAGCTACTTTCATCATCTAGGTCTACTTCAGGCTGAATGTATAAAACATTAGATTTCATATTGTACAGGAAATCACCATTAATATCATTTTCTTGAGGTACAAACAGCGGCCGGAGGGTTGGACCGCTTTTGACTAAAATGGTGAATTGAGTATACTTATTTAGTTTTTCTGAAAAAGCTGCATAAATTTTATTTTTTATTTCATGGTTTGAATCTATTCTGTTAAATTTTACGCCTTCCGCGAATCTTTTCTTTCGACCTAAGCGCAGTTCGTCGCCTTTGTTTATGGGGTTATAACAGTTACTTTTAGAGAGTAACACAAGCTTGGTCTGAAAAGTAATAGGTCGAGGAGAAGTAGCTTTCTTCTCTTGTTCTAGCTTTCTTTTCTTGAACGCTGTGGAGAGGGCTAAGTTTAAATTTGTCACTGCTGCCCGTGCTCTACTACCAGGGGCCTGTTGCGGGATGGAGCTCCCTGGAAAGTGGATTGCAGATTGTGCAGGTAAAGTGGGTGTGACATTCGAGGTGGATTGAGTAAGAGACTGAGCAGATGCGGCAGGTAAAGTCAATGAGGCAGACACAGGCTGAGGTTGCATAAATGCAGGGGGTGGAACAAATGGGTTACCTACAGAACGTACGGCAGGAGGAGTTATTACAGCAGGGGTGGCAGATGCTGCAGATGATGCAGTGAGAAGACATGAGGAAATTTGCGCCAAAAATTGTGGTTGTGATAGGACATTCTGCAGTGCATTCCGCACTGTTTCTGCATCTAAAGCCGGACTATCAGCCATCTTCGATTAGGTACTGAAACAAACAGAAAAAAAGTCAAATAAGAACAAGATGACAAGCCTTTCAAAGGAATTATTCTCCAATTCTTGTAAGCGCCAATCTCTTTTTTGTTGTTGGTATATACAGGGGATGCTTTAGATTTTCTTTCTCTGGTGCTATCATGTCTGATTTATGACTAATTTACCAAAAAAAAAATCCCCAAGTTTCGCAGATCATTTCATGTGTAGGTACTGAGTGAGTACCTCCTTGGGGTGACTCAAAGTTTCTCAGATCCATTGTGAGTAGGTTTTGCATGTAGATAGTCACTTTACCCAGATAAAATTCCTGCTTTCGCAACTTCCTATTGAATAAACTTTGATATCTGATTCATCAATAAATGACACCATTTACTATTAATCAATGTACCACTAGACAAGGTACGAATTTCAGCATGCTGATGCCTGATTCTTAACCAAAATTTCACGTAGAACACGATACGCACGATTCACATCGCGCGCTAAACGTTATCATTACAGTCTTTGCGATATAAAAATCTGGCAACCTCAATCTTGACGCTTTGGCTCAGCTATAGCAAATTGCTCATAGTTTGAAAAAAACATGGCGGGAAATGAACATTGCTCGGTTGAGAAGCTTGCTGAAACCGTTGTAATGCGCGATTTGACTCACGTAGAGATTTGAGTTTCTTGTGAGCGGGCAGTTCAAATTCCTCGTTACCAATGTGAAATAAAAACGTTAATATCTTTGTTAGGAGTTGGTTTCAGTAATTTTCGTTGTGTGAATCGGGTTCTACGTGAAATTCTTGATAAGAAACATGTATCAGATTGTTAAAATTCGTACCTTGTCTAGTGGTCTATTCAAAGCTTTTCCAACAATGAATCATCATAGGAAGGAAGAAGAAATTTTCTGGCAAGTGCTTTGGCTGAATCAGCATTACAACTCAACTTGTGAAGGCATCAACTAAATAGGACAAGAACATCTGTTCAAAGTGAAAATATTTGTCAACTTGTCAGACAGTTTCGATGAGTATAGTTTCAATTATCACCAGGGTGAATACGCATCTAATGTCTAATATTCAGTTTAAGTATGCTAACCTTTCTGGATAATGATCAATGACAAAACAAGTATAAGAGTCGGATGGCCAAACTAAATACCTAACCTGCTTGACAATTTTGTAAATATTAATCACAATATGTCACCTTGTTTCCCTTTATAAATCTGGACTGAGAGTTGAAATTTTGAACAAGGGGTTCCTGAACTAACAGCGAGATCTCTGTACAAAAGGCGCGACATACTGACTCAATGGGTCATGAAACATCAAAAGACAGTATTCACACATTTGATTCTCTCATTTCGGCTCAAATTCTCTGAGTTCTCCTTGATAATTCCAGATCCTTCATGAGGCAACCAAGGCCTTGTTTTTAGCTAACAAGCTAGGATAGGAGGAGGTGCAAAAATGAAATTTTAATAGAACAGGCTCAGAAACTTCTGACCAGAAACTGTTGTTGAAAGAAGCCTCCATACTTGGTCAAATTGCCACTAATCGTCGAAAATACTCCTAGAAATGGTTTGGATAATTCAAAATTGACTGATTTTATTGATATTACCTACATAAAAGGTTATGTTTCATTTTCATGTTGGGTTGGTGTTTGGCAAGACAACTGTAAATGCTACCTTCTAGATGATCGTGGTTACAATTTGAACACCCTACGAACCCTTTTACTGATTACGTATTGACAGAAGAGAGGGGCACTTTACTTTAGAAAACTGTTTTCATTCGCTCCCTAAAGGAATACCATAACTTACTGATCTCTTGCTAGAAACTACAACACATTTCGTGCACGTACGGCTTCCTCACATGTCTAGTTTCGATACAATTGAGATTAATTTTGCTGTTACAGAGATTAAATCTAATGAGGTTAGACGAAATTTGAAGTGTACTAGACTTTGAAAATTTGGACACTTGCTGCTCTCTTCCCTATCACAGCAGTGTTGGTCTGAATCGCTCTGGGGTAGACATAGATGACATAGGTTAAAAGGCTGAGCATGATTGGTCGGCCATGTCTTATTGTGCCTTTATCGGGTGGAATGGACAACATACCATCGGAAACTTAAGAGGTGCCATTAGCTTGCCGTGAATTCCACCCCACGATGCGACAAAGGAGCGATAAAACTTAGTCGACCAATCTCGCTCAGCCTTTTGACCTGTATCATCTATGTCGACCCGACAGAAACACAATTTCAACTATCAGGCTGCAGGTTCTGGACACGGTGAGAGTCTGACTTAGAGGATACTTCGATTGGAATTTTCGATTCTCTCAGGGGAGAGTGTTGTATATGTCTTCAGAGATACTCTTACGTCGTAAATTATGGTAGTTTCGATTAATAATCGGAAGACAAACGACATGAAGCCAAGACTGAAGACAAGAGAAGTTAGGACCAGTGATGATCAAACTAAGGCTGTGGTACAGTTCGGCAGCTGAGCCAATGCTTTTGAACTGATACTGTTTCCATTTGCAAACGAACAATGGTAAAAGGAAACGATTGAAATATAATATCATGACAAAATTGTATGACTTACCAAAAGGTGGAGCACGTAGTAATTCCGTTATATTCCGGATCCGGATGGCTGATGCAACACGCTGATGGCAATTCCCTCCAATTTTTCGCTGTTGTTGTTGTTTTTTCTGATGAGTGATAACGCAACGGTCGCATCGGTGACTTCGGAAGTCAAAGTGAAAAAAAACGGGAGAAAAAAAAAAAAAAAAAAA